TTGATATCAGTGGGCGCGTGGCAAACACAGGCAAGAGGACGCATGGTAGGCCTGGGGGTTGAAACTGCATGGAATCATGTTGAAACAAAATATATTAAGAAAGTGAGGGGACCTGGGAATCGAACCCAGGTCCCAGAGTTTACCAAATGCTTTGTCCACCAACTGTGCCATCTGCGCGTTTGTAACATAACATGACAAATAAACAATATAATGCAAAATAAGGGTGAGTGGTATTTTTTCGCGCGAAATTCAAACGCATCAACCGCTGGCTTACACCTCACCTTCTTCTCCAATTGTTCTGCATTTTGCCTGAAAAAATAAACTAAATAGCGGGGGTTTTAAACCACCACTAAGTGATAAACATGAAAATAGCGAATAGGTCCTGGTTGCTCATAAATTGAGCGCGACCTATGGATTGAGTTCGTATGAAGCTTCCGGTTCAAATGGCCCTGGTCTCGTGTCTCAATTTTTCCAGAATAAGGAAGCCCCAAATTTGAACCTCTGCAACCCTAAAAGACATTAATGGTAGGTTCTCGTACAGGGCATGAAAATCCAATTAAATGACATCATTAGCTTTAGAATGGTTAGATTAGTCCAAATCAACAGAAAGAATGCAATGAGGATGCTTATAAATTGAAACACGAATATCAACAATGTTAAGGACAGGACGGCATCATATTACCAATTCTTTGCGTTAGAAGCTATGATTTTGATCCAGAAACTTTCCTTGTGGCCTTGGCAAGCGATTGGAATAGTTATCTTGCCTTGAAACCAACTCTAAAGGCGTTTTCAGTTTTCAATTTTTTTCACAAAAATGCCAAAGTTGTTCTTAGGATTGGGCGCAGCTTGAAAGTTCTTTGTACTAGGGTTAGGTTCTGACTTATGTATGGGACGAATTAGGGTAAAGATTTGAGTCAAAAAGCCTTGTAATCATGAATCCAATATTTGATTTTAATGGCATATTTTTTCAAATCTTTTTCATGTGTTTTGATACCAATCATGGCCAAATCCTTCCTTTTTTGATGTGCACGAATCTTCAGTGACCAATGAGAGCAAATGCTGCATAAAAAGATTCACATACATTTGTTTTAGTATTTTTTCATATTTTATTTTATTAAATGAATTAATGGTGATTAAAAATTCAAATAAATAATAAAAAATGATGAAATAAATCCCCTTTGGGCCAAATGGTCGTGCATAGCCTTTGGATGATGAATCTTGGAAGAAAATGTGGCCCATTAGCAATTTTGAGGCATTTGAAGTAAAGTTGACTTTTCAAAATTTCCAAAAATTTCCCAACTTCCACAAGGCATATCTTGCTCAATTTTTAAGATTTGATCATGTTCTTGGACATTTTGGAAAGGTATTGAAGTCTTCTAACCAATGTCTTTGGTACCATGTCATTTTTATTTACCAATCTCAAGTTATGGTCTTTGACTTAAAGTGCCTTTTTGTTGACTTTTGAAAATGACCTATAATGTTGAAATTGATAACTTTTTGTGAGAGCATTTCTTGGACTTGAAGTGTGAAGAGGAGTTGTAGGAAATGTCTTTATCTTCAAAATGAGATTTGGATGGAATTTTTCTGATAAACCATGTGGAAGTTATGCCTTGATCAAGTTACAGTTGACTTTTTCAACTGTCCAAATATGGAAACTTTTGCATCTTGAAACTTTTTGAGCCATGCCTTGAGAATCATGATCAAGAATTGATCAAATGATGTTTGTGGCTTCAAAATAAGATGTTGACCAAAAATTTGGACTTTTGACTGTCAAATGACCATTTTGCCCCTGCAGTTGACTGTAGGGCAATTAGGGTTTTTGACTGTGCAATTTTGTGCTGTAAGTCTTGCAACTTGGTATGAGGATGCTTGACCATGTTTATAGGCATGTGAGACTTATTTGGACCCTTGGAAACTTCATTTTCTTTGTCAGAACCAAAACCCTAGTTTTTGACTGTTAAGAGACCCTTGAACTGTACAACCCTTGGGGAGATTTTGAAGCATGCTCTTTGCAAATCTTGAAGAATATGGGAGGGCAAATTTTGGGGTACAACAGGCATCTATTTAGAATATATACCGTTGTCGAAGCTGCTTCAACCAAAAATCTCTTAGACATATCTTTAGCTTTCAACATACTTCTCGTCATGTTCAGTATCTTTTATTCTTTCTATCATCTATGCCATTATGCTGAAGCGTATTGGGTGAAATAACCACATGATCTATACCTTCCTCATTGCAAAATCTAGCAAATTCAGCAGAAGTATATTCACCACCACTGTCAGTTCTTAACTTCTTCAATTTGCAGCCACTTTGTTTCTCAGCATACAACTTGAACTTCTTGAACTGTGTGAATACCTCACTCTTCCTTTCAATAAGGTAAATCCACATATGTCTGGTGAATTCATCAATGAAAGTAAGGAAATACATATTACCTACATTTGACTTTACTTCAAAGGGTCCACACACATCAGAATGAACCAGCTCCAGTTTTTGCTTTGATTTTACAGACAAGTCATGTTTGAACGCCTTCCTTGCCTGTTTTATTTTGCAGCATTTCTCACATACCTGCTTTAGTTCCTTTACATACGACAATCGAAACACTATCTTTTTCTGATTGAGCATGCATAAACTTTTGAAGTTTAGATGTCCATACCTGTGATGTCATAGCCAGTTTTTGTCTTCTTCTGTAGTTGAAGCAAGACTATGTGATATGACGTGTTGAGTTCAACTTTGAACATTTTGTTTTCCACCAATGGTGCTTTCATTATTAGCCTCCCATCAGCCTTATATACCTTCATCTGATTTTTCTCTAGCTTCATATTGAAGCCTTTTGCAAGTAATTGACCTACACTTATCAAGTTATTTGTCATAAAAGGTACATATAGTACTTCAATGATAGTAGCTTTCGACCATCCTTCCTGACAATCGAAATATCTCCTTTACCACCTGATTTGATGTGCCTGTCATTTGCAAACTTTATCACCTTTTCGACTGACTCATCTAACTTGGTAAACTAGTTTTTATTGTCAGTCATGTGGTGCTGCATCCTGAATCCAGACACCACATGTTATTTTTCTCAGTGTTCAACTGAGTGTTCACCACCACCAACACATCATCTGAATCATTATCTCCAGCTCGTAAATATTGAGCTTCATCACTATCTTTCGCCCTTCCAACTTTCTTTCTTTGACAATCTCTAGCACAGTGACCAAAACCTTGACAATTGTAACATTGCACCTCTTTTGTGTCAACTTTCTTCACATAATACCTGTTGCCTACACCTTTCTTGATCGAATCAGTATTCTTGCTTGACTTCTCTTCACTAGCAAGATTCTTTCGCTGCTTCGACTTCTCTTTTCCAGCTTTCTTGCTGAATCTTGATTGCAATGTCTATTTAGTCACCTTCTCTCTTTCTGAGTTACTCTGCTTCAACCTCATTTCATGAGCCTCCAATGAAGCTTGAAGTTCTTCCAACTTCATCCCAGATAGATTTTTAGCCTCTTCAATTGTCACAAAAATGTAGTAAAAATCCGCAATTAAAGATCTCAACACCTTTTCTATCTTCTGCAGATTCGTAACCGATTCATCACATGCCTTCATCTGGTTTATTAGCGTCACAACACTTGAGAAATATGCAGAGATTGATTCATCTTCTTTCATATGAAGCATCTCGTATTGCTTCCTTAGTGTCTACAACTTAACCTTATTCAATTTCTCATTTCCACCATACAAGCTTTTTAGCTTTTCCAAAGCTCCTTTTGTTGTTTCTTCTTCAATTATTTTCTCAAATACATCAAAATCCACACTGGTGAATCAAGAACAGTGATTTACCATCTTTCTTTCTTTGATCTTTATGCGCGGTTTTATGGGCTTCCGTCACATTTGCTTCTAGTTCTGATACTCCACCATTCAAGATTTCAACAACATCTTGAAATCTGAAAATAACTTTCATCTGCGCAACCCACCGCTGATAATTTTCACCTTTGAAAACCGGTAGATTCGCTGGAAACTGCGTTGATGTTGTTGTTCCGTTTGCCATTAGATTCTCTCTGAATCACAATCGAGCTCCCAATTTGTTGGAACAAAGGGTTTTTTAAGAAAGATGATTTATGAAAGAGAAGAAGAAGAAGAAGAAGAAGAAGAAGAAGAAGAGAGAGAGAGAGAATTGAGAGTTTTATTTTGATTGTTTTCTCACTTATTAATTACAAATTCTGCTGCTCATTATATAGGCAAACAATATCCAAGCCATTAGATAAAAATGTTAAAGTCCGAAACATGATTTCGACAAATTGCAATATATGTTGTATTCGACTATGTCGAATACAACTTATAACCAATACAAAAGTTATTCGACATATACTACACAAACATTTCGATAGAATAAGAATTATACATCTTAACATTTTCAACTCATTTTTTATTCTAAGATGGAATCAAAGCAAGTGAATTAATCCCAATTAGAAGATAGCCATTGTTTGATCAAAATCAGGAGTTTGGGATCTTTTATGATGATTAGTTTAATTAACATTAGACCGTGTCTATTGTTTGTTAGTATCAAATTAATACATGAATTATATTTTCTCTAGTAATATTTCTTAGCAAATATTATATATCTATCATTTTATCCTTTTTATCTAAATATAAAACATTGTTCATAGTAGGGATTAATAAAGTCAAAGAACTAGCTTGAGAGCTTTAAGAACTTCATATTTGAAGAAGGAAAAGGAACAACAAAAATGAAAACTGGACAATTAACATAAATAAAAAAAGGACATAGAGGATCGTTCTATGAAGGGACTAAATTCCAACTCCGCCATCGGCGTTGGTAATCAGCAGACATGCAAATGCACCATTACTAGCAAGTTATAAGCATGCTTCCATCCGGAAATGTTGCCACTGTTCAACATGAAATCCATACATAATGTTATAATTGTGCCAAATACAAAAAAGTTAAGAAAAAATGAACACATGGATACTTGCCTGCGACAGACATTTCACTTCTACCAGTCAATCAACACTTCAGGGATGTGACTAATTGTATGGCGACGCTCTCCTCCCTCCTCTTTGTACTTCTCCTTAAGTAATGGACAATCTCTAATGAACAAATGTTTAAGGGAGTTGGGTAGACTCTCCTCTGGCAAGCTCTCAAGACTAGGGCAGTTGTAAATAGATAGACGTACAAGAGATTTGAGATGGAGAAGACCCGACTCCTCTCTAAAAGCTATCAATTTAGGACATTTAGATATTCCAAGTATGTTCAAGTTGGAAGGTAAATCTCCCATAGGAAAAGATTCTAATTCTGGACAATCATGGATGTCTAGCCATTTAAGATTGGTGAATAAATGTAGTGAAAAAGGCAAGGAGGAGGACCGGCATCCTATTATTGAAAGTCTCAAAAGAGAATTATGACAAGACAAATTCAAAGAGAAACATTCTACAAAGTCCTTGCAATCCAACATCAACACTTCCAGAATGGGGCAGTTGATTAAATGATCCATGGAGAACTCAACATACTGATTTCCCCAAAGGGTGAACCTTTTCAAGCTAGATGACAACTCATTTATCAAAACCCGATCACATTTCCATATATCTAACACTATGATATTATCACAATTGGAAATTGATACATCTAGCATTTTGCAATCACATATGCGCAATATTTGTAAAGAAGGAAGGTGTTGAGGCAGTGCCCTTTTCAATTTGGGACAATCCGTTATAGAAAGCTCTTTAAGTAAAGGAAACCCTTCAATACATAACCATTCCTCCCAATTCTTCATTCTGTCAAAACCTAAAAATTCAAGAGACTTGAAGTTATGGTTGTAAAACTCTTTTCCGATGATCTTTATTCCATGACAGTCTGAAATATAAAGCTTCTTGAGAGAGGGGATCTGCCCAAGTGGTGGCAAGTGGGAACATAATCCACAGTTGTTTAGTGTAAGAGATACTAAGTTAGGTAAATGACAACCATTTACCCAATTAGGAAAGCTATTACCTCTGTAATCTCTGATGGTGAGCATCTTCAAGTTGCTATTTGGTTGAAGAGCCTCCGACACAGATACATTGCTTTCAACTGTTGATCCATCCATATCTTCTCTTCCGCCATCAAATGTCATCTCTATTTCTTCTAAATACTTCTTATCTTTCAAAATTCTTGTTGTAACATCTGTAGGATCAATGACTTTACCCAATCCTTTAATTTGAATTGTTCCACGAACATGATTTAGTTTCTCCAACTCCTTAAGATCAGATCCATTCTGCTCTTCCACTATAAAATAAGCCAACTTCTGGAGATTGCTTAGACTTCCTATATTCTTTGGCATCTTATTTATAAAATAGGGAAGTTCAAGATGACGTAAATTGAAGAGTTTGAAAAAATTTGAAGGGAGCTCAGTCAATTTACCGCAGTTTTGCAACAAGAGTGTTTGCAAATTATATAGCATACAAATGGTGTCAGGTAAGCTTGAAATTTTATTATAAGAAAGGTCAAGATAACGCAAAAGCTTTAAATTGCTTATCTCATCAACTAGCTCTGAGAGACCACAACCATATAATGATAACATTCGCAAATGTTTTAGTCTTGAAAACATATCACGTTGCACAGTGTTGCTTATCAATATAGATCTATCGCCTTCTAGTGACAGACTACGTAGTCCCTTAAGTTCACAAATTGACTCTTGTAATTTATCAACAAAATTTGATTGAGGAGACCACCAAATGTGACGTGTCCTTTCAGGAATACCTTCCACCTTATCTTCGTCCATTCTCATACAAAATTCTCCTGACACTGATTTAGCTAAATCATTGACAAGGTCATGCGTGTAAAAGGTATTATCATCCGTTGAATATTGGAAAAATGAAATTGACACAAGATCACCTAAAATTTCATTACCCAACTCTTCTTCACTTTTTTCTGTTCTGCAACACTTTAGCAAACCTTCAGCCATCCAAAACCTGATTAATTCACCTTTCTCAAGTTGATAACCTTTGGGAAATATGGAACAATAAGCAAAACACCGCTTCTGGTTGGAAGGAAGATTATGATAACTCAATCTTAGCACTGGGTTAATGTTGTTGTCCTCATCTAATAAACGCCACAGATCAGTCTCCAATATCTTCATCCATTCATCTTGAGAGAATTTTTTTCGTAAGAGTTGGCCTATTGTTTTTACTGCTAAAGGCAACCCTCCACACTTGTTCACTATTTTCTCGCCAATTGATTCTAGATTTGGATATTCACGCGTGTTCTTTCCATGAAACGCATGTGTCACAAATAAACTCCAACAATCTTTTTTTTCCAATTGCTGTAAATCAAATATCTCTGTGGAATTCAGGACATGTGCTACGTCCTTGTCACGTGTTGTCGCAATAATCTTACTTCCAGAAGATCCATGGTTAAAAGGAAGTAGTAACTGCTCCCAACATTCTGCACTCCCATTCCAGATATCATCTAAAACAAGCAAGTATTTTTTGCCTGTTAGTATGCGTTGCAGTCTCTCTTGAAGTAAATTGAGAATAGATTCATCATCTACTTGAGAATAAAATGACTTGAGAATTGATTTGGTGAGTCCAACAACATCAAAAGATTCAGAAACATAAACCCATGCTTTAAGTTCAAAATATTCCTCAATCCTACTGTCATTGTACACAAGCTTAGCAAAGGTGGTCTTGCCCATCCCACCCAGACCCACTATGCTAGATACAGGTGTTTGTGTTTGGTTGTCACTGCCATTGTTTGAAAGTAAAAATTTGACCATTTCTTCTTTCTCATCGTCCCTACCATATATGCGGGATGCATCCACCAAATATGAAGTTGGCAGTCTCTCTAAAGGTTTGGAACTGACACCAACTTCATTACGAGCCAAAGATCCATTTTTCAATTCCAACACATCTTTTTGCTCATCAAGATGTTTTAGATTCTTTAGCAATTCTTTGATCCTTGATTCAAATGGATTAATAAAAGCTGAAACATAACTAAAATAGTTGTTGCTACTAGTTGATGGTTGAGATTCAGCTCTCATCTTCTTCAACGGTGCATCAGTGGCAATCTCATCCAACAGTTGGTCAGCCTCATACATAGCATGTTTAACATCGCCAAGCCACTTCTTGACATTCCGGATTTGGTATTGTTTTATCTCTGCATCATCCAAAACTTGGTTGATAGACTCGAGTGTAGACTCAAGTTCCTCCACCAACTTGTCAAGTTTGCCTCTACGGAAATAGTCGGTGAAATTACTTGAACCCAACCTATCAAAAAACACTTGAAAGAAAGATGAAAGAAATGCTCCAGCAACAAGTTCTGCCATGTCTTTTCTGTAACACAAAATAAATTATTTTAGATATGAGTTTCATGCACAATATTCAGAGCCTCTTTGCAGTAATACATCAGGGACAATATCATCCTGTGTTAGCAATAATATTGCTAACACAATTGTGAATCCAATATCATCAGGGACAAATCATTAGTTATGAAACTCATAACTAATCATTAGCACAATTTGATTGTCATATTCAATGATTTGAATCCAATTGTTAGTTATGTAAATATTATAACGAGAATCTAAGAGTGAATATAAAAAATTAGAACAAGATTTAGAAAAATAGAGGGAACACAAAGTCAAAATCTAAAACAGATAATTATTCACTAAAAAGTATAAAAGAAGACGAAAATGTTACCTATAAATGGAGATTATGAGCTCCTTGTAAAAGAGAATATGGGAGTGAATATTAGATGCAACAAGAAATGAGTACAATATAGAAAAGAGAAAATAAGATCTCTGGGGAAAGTGAGAGAAACCACTTGAATGAGAGTGTGTGGAAGAAACAATATGAGGATAAAGATATCTTAAACAAGATAAGGTTTTCCTTTTAGATCACACAAGGGCATTTCTTTTAAATGATTTTTGTAATGTTATACTTTTTTGCTTTAAAAATATTTATAATAAAATTTATCAAAAAAAGTTCTAAATAAAAAATTAGCTTAAATAATTTTTCTTTAAATCATTATTTTAAATTATTTATTATAAATTCTTTCGGAAATCAAATTTTCAAAAATTACTTAAACATAGTCATTTTGAATAAATTTTTATAAAAAAATCACTTTTAAAATATGTATTACTTACAAGTGTGTGATTCCCTGCAAGGGCAGGGAGTCTCATATGTCTTAGTAGGTGTATAATATATTTTGGTAGTGAGAGTTTCCTCACGGCGGCGAGAAGTCATATACGGTGATTTTTTAGACTGTTTAAAGGACTCAAGTGAAAGGCCATGTTGGTGGTCAGCGCTGCTTGATTGTAGGCAGGTGATTAGATTAATCATGTGTTGTGGTTGCAAAGAGTGTGGTGTTCTTTTAGGTAGTAGAAGATGTGTATGACTTAGAGTCTGTCTTTTTTCTCCTTGAGGGGTGAGATATTTATAAAGGGTCCATAAGACATAAGGTTTTTTTTACCTTTTTTCATGGTCTTAATCGTTTCCCTCTCACTAAGGAAAGTTATTGACCACCTATCTTTTAGGATTCAATGTAGACTCTCTCTTCCTTGACTCTCATGTTTGCAGATGCCATTGGGCAAGTCTTTTAGATTTCGTCTAGGCGACATCGTTGTGGGGCGAGGGTTTCCTAATCTAGGATTTTTACAAATATAACACTACATAGTCTCTTAAGTGCGACGATTTTTCTTTAAGGACGGAGTGTTTAAAAACTAATCCCTGGTGGAGGCATTCTTTAGAGACGAGTCCCTCAGTTGAAGTCATTTTTTTCCAAAGATGTCATCAGAGATAGTAATAAAGATGTCATCCAGGATGTGCCAAACATCTGGTCTAACAAGTGTTCCCTAATGAAGCTGGCTGCAATTCAATCTATATTTTCTAATTTATTTTCTAGTGTCTTTTTGGCCCTTACATGGGTACTTTTTGAGTTGTAATGGTAATGATACCTTGACTACTATTTGCTCTTCTGAACCTAGTAACAACAGTTTGCATGACTTGGACTGATGCTTTACCTTCGTGTGCAACATTTGTTTACTCATGTTATGATGTGTGAATATGTTAACATACTAACTTCTGTGATGACTGACCAAAATTATTGAGGAATACCTTTGCCAAATTATGACAAAAGGGGGGAGTAATGTTGTGTAGGGTTGGAAGTTATGACTACTAACTTACTAACTATGAGGAAGTTATCATCTGCTGATCTCTAATGTGGCTAGTACTAATTGATGCAATTAGTACTAACTGTTTTGGTTTTCTGGTTTTTTGTGGAAAGCACACATGCTGCAACATTTAGCCTAACATCTTGTCTAGATCTGTGTATGTTGATCTTGTTGTATGTTAGTAGTGGCTTATGATATTTGACTAGTGACTACTAATTCATCTTGAATGATTGCATGATCGACTATTTTGGAGCATTCTCATGTGTGTGTAACTACCTCACAATCTCTAACATGCAAACTCTTGTGCGCGTAACTATCTCATGATTTTATATTCGTGCTACAAATTATTGTTGTTGCTGCTCTAACTTTTATTGCTGCTAATATATGTTCTGATTGTTTTTATTCTATTGTTGCTGATGATTGTTCTGAGTATGGGATCTCTAATACTCAATATGTTTACTACTTAAAGAGTTATTTTGCCAAAATTTTCAAAAGGATAGATTGAAGTTCCTTTTGGATTGGCTATATTATGCAAAACAACATGGAGATGTTCAAGCTATTTCTGGTGCAGAAGAGACACATGTGGAACTCGATGTTACAACATGTGTACTACAATATCTGGTTTCATACAAAAAACATATGTTAATATAGTTATGGTTCTTAGTTATTCTATTCAAGATTCAATCTAAAAAACATATCTACAGATTCAAGCTGGAGAATTAATTTGGATGTGCTGGTGAATCGTGTTGAACACGATGCTTCAACATGTGTGCAACGCAACATCTGGCCTTGACAGCAGGCCATATGGGTGTTATTTGATGTGCAATTTCTAATCAGGATTTAATAAGATTTGTTGCGGTTAATTTGGTAATGTATATTTTATTTGTTTGATAACTTGAGATATTCAAATCAGATTTAAAATAATATTTAAAATTGAATTGAAATATAACAAATCATATCTTATTGTTGGAGATAAATATAGAGATGATCATATCCAAGAGAATTAGTTATTTTCTAGAGTAAATTTAATCATAAATTCAAAGGAGAAAAACCTAGAATTGCATTGTCTTATAAGGAAACGCAAACCTCAAGGTTGTGGGGTGCATATTTGGAAGATTCTTGGTGTTATGGTTTAGCTTTATAGTCTTCATTTAAGATATCTTTGTGCATCACTCTAGTGCCTATTTTCATATTTTAAGACATATAGTTTGGTTTAATAATTGATTTGTAAAACCTTGTTCCACGATACTAAGTCTATAAGCTTGAGAATAAAGTGTTTCTTGTATTCCACGTTATTGCCATGATAAGGAATAATGTATGATATTTGTGTACACCACTCCATGTTTCAGTAACTTGACATAGTTGTTGGTTTGTCTTTATTGAGTTGTATATTCAATATTCAATAGACTTTTTTATTGAAGTTGATCACTTAGAATTAGTTATTGAGAGAAGGTGAGAGGAGTTCTCATATTTAGGTTGAGACTGGAATGAAGCTTTATGGGTAGTATTAGGAAAGTGGTCTTGAATTAGCCTAATTCAGAGCAAGTCTATTTTCCCTACTAACTATTAAGAGTGAAATAGTTCTATAAGGAGTCCTAAATAGAAAGTTACTAGGATTAATAAGATGCATTGAATATCATGGGGTTGGCGTTCATGAAAGAATAATTGTACTAATTTGAAGTAGTGAATTTTCTTTCTTGAGTAGAGTGCTCTCCAGACATAGGTGTTGTTTGCACCGAACTTGGTTACCAGTCTATCGTGTTCTCTTTATTCATTATATGCTTCATCATCTTGTATAAGCTAAGACCTTAACGTTGTTATACTGGTTTATCATGTTGAACCATTTGTCACGACTTCGTGTCCAACATTTGTCCCCTCAGGAATAAAATTTCAATGGCGTTTGCTCCCTTGCCATATGTGGGTTTTAAGGTCACATGGCCCATTATTTGCACCCGAAGGCCTAATAATCCCATCAAAGAACCGTTGGACCTTTTTATGTCGTTCGATTCCAAATTTACTTTTCGGAAGACATCCCCATAATATGATATCGGTGGAGCTGCTAGGATCTATCAAAATGTTTGTGATATCCTGGTTTTCATGCTATATAGTGATAAGTAAGGAATCATTTTTGCGAGGGTTGATTTTGAGGGCGTCCTCCTAGGAGAAAATGATGTCAAACCTTGTTTTCCCTTGGGTGCTTCTGTAAAAGCCATGGGATATCACATTCGCTGCAAACACATGCCTAGCATATTTCCTTCGGGTGGCTCTGGAGTTACCTCTCTGGGTGATACCTCTGACAATGATGTTTGTATCATAATGAAAGATCCTGTCGGACATCTTCAAAAGTAATATGGAAGAGGTTGGCATGAAGATGTGGCCCCTGTTAGTTTTATCGGGGACTTATGGGCGCCACTGTCCTTGTCAAAAAGTACATGTGTGTGTTCCCCCTGCAAGGGCATAAAGCATGTAAAGGTAGCTTGGGGAGGACCGGCGGTGGAAACGTGACTTGGGAACTCGAGAGTCATATGAGAGAGTCTTATCCTAAGTTATTTGTTTGAGGTAATTTTCGAAGACGAAAATATTTTAAGTGGGAGAGAGTTGTAACACCCCGATTTTTCATTTATTAATTATTTTATTAGCTATTTATTTTATTAGTTATTATATGATGTACTAATTAATTAAATTGTGTGATTTTGTGAATATATGAATTATTTGAATTAACTGTGAATATGTGTTATTTGTGTATTAGGTTAGTAAGTGTGAGAATAACATTATTAATTAATTGGGTCTTGGTATGATGGATTAGTGTGAGGATGAAACATAAGCCCATTAGTGAAATAAGAGTTACTAAGGATTTTGTAAAATAAAGAGAAATAGAATTGGAAAGAAAGAAACAAGAGAAGAGAAGAAAGAGGAGAAAAGGGAGAAATGAGAAGAGAAGAAGATAGAACCCTAGAAGAGGATCTACATCCAAGGTAAGGGTGGGTTTTCATTTGATTATATGAGTATGTGATGTATGTAATAGGTAGCTATATGATTAGGGATTTTGTTATTCAATTTCTGATTTTGGCATGTTAGGGTTTTGAGTGGAATCCATGAAATTGATGTTGGAATCATGTTTGGATGTTTTAAATAGAAACTATATGTTAGGTATGTGTTTTAATGCCATAAATCATAGAAACTTGAGTGATAAAATGGGTTTTTGAAGTCAAAACTCGAACTGTTATGTTGCTGAAATCGCAGATTTTTCTACAGAAATCGTAGAGTGCGCTTAGTGCGGATTTTCGTGCTTAGCGCGAAAGCCACTTACTTGAGGATGCTTAGCGCCAAAGAGCTCGCTTAGCGCGACCTGTAATGCATAATTTTATATTTAGTTTAATTGATTGGGGGGTTGCATGCTTATGATTTATAAGGGATTTCCATTAATTTTAAAAATTTATTAAATGTGTATTGGATAGGTTGTGAATGACTTTTTGATGAAAACATAACACTTGAATTTTGTGTATACGTATATTGTAAATTAATGTTGGATGAGAATAACATTGTTTGACATTTCTTGCTATATGCTATTGTGGTGTGTTGAGTTGATTAACTCCATGAGAATGCATTGTATGTGAATGATAACATGAAATATGTATGTTTGTGCAAAGGTGAGATAATTCAAATGTGATGAATTATGTGATATATGCTTGTGTGATTAAGATTTAGAAATGGTCTTAATTGCATATGATTGTTGAGTTGGCACATGAATCATTTGTTGTCAAGAGGCAATGTTTGCTAGTTTTGTGGAGACTAGTAACATGTCCCAAACTTGGGGGATTGGTTTGAAGCTTAGAGGACGGGCTTTTTGGTGGTTATATGTCTGAGGGATGAATGCGGTTTAAACGTAAAAACCATAAAGGATAATAATTGGTACCATATGTATATTGTATTCAGTTGCATTCGAATCAGATGCATCGATGTAAAATGTGTAATTGGTATGCATTATGTAATATTGATGTGAATGTTACATTTGTGGTATTTGTGACTGGTTATATTTGAATCATGAATTGTTGAGCAATGTTTTATATGTAAACATGTAAATTGGATTGGATAATATTGAATACATGAATATATGAAGTATGATGAATTCAATTGATATACGTATGCTATGTGTTACTTATTATTGTGTATTTCTATAATGATGTGAATTATCACCCTTCTATTGAAATGATGTTTATACGATATCGCTCAGGTACCATAGATAATAGTTGTGATACGGTGGAAGAATTGACTTGGGTGTTTTGCGTTTGATCGCAAAAGAAAACCTTCAAGAGAATCAAGACAAAACCATTTCTCCCAATTGTCCATCCTCTCAAATTTCAATACTTCAAGGGACCTGAACGGAACGCTTGTTGAGTTATTTCCATAAAACTCTTCGCCAATTATCTTTATTCCGGTACAATCTGAAATGAAAAGCTCTTTGAGGTAGGGGAGCTGCCCAAGTGATGGCAAATGGGAACATAATCCACAGTTATGCAATGTAAAAGATACTAAGTTGGGTAAATGACAACCATTTATCCAATTTGGAAACATAATGCCAAAGTAGTTCTCAATAGTGAGCCTCTTTAAGTTGCTATTTGGTTGAAGAGCCTCCAAGACAGACACGCTGCTTTCAACTATTGAGTCATACATTTCGTCTCTTCTGCTATTGAATTTCATAAGTATTTCTTCTAAATACTTCTTATCTTTCAAAGTTGCTATCGCATCATCTACAGGAGCAATGACATTACCCAACCCTTTAATTTGAATTGTTCCATGAAGATGGTTTAGTTTCCCCAACTCCTTAAGATCAGATCGTTCTTCCACTAAAAAATAAGGCAAGGTCTGGAGATTGCTTAAATTTCCTATGTGCTTTGGCATCTCCTTTATAGAATAGGGAAGTTCAAGATGGCGTAAATTGATGAGATTGGAAAAATCGAAAGGGAACTTAGTCAATTTACAACAGTCTCGCAACAAGAGTGTTTGCAAATTATACAACATACAAATGGTATCAGGTAAGCTTGTAATCTCAGTGTGAGAAAGGTCTAGATAACGCAAAAGCTTTAAATTGCCTATCTCATCAACTAGCTCTGAGAGATCACAATATCTAAATGATAACATCCGCAAACAGTTTAGCCTTGAAAACAGCGCACGTTGCAAATTGTTTTCTAGTGACACAGCTCTATTACCTTCTAGTAACAGACTACGCAGTCCCTTAAGCTCACAAATTGGTTTCACTAATTTATCAACACAACTTAATTGTAGAGACCAAAAAATATGACGAGTCCTTTCATGGATACCTTGCACCTTAGCTTCGTCTATTCGCATACAAAATTCTCCTGACACTGATTTAGCTAAATCATTGACAAGATCATGCATGCCAAAGTAATTATTAGCAGTTGGCTGTTGGAAAAATGAAATTGACTCAAGATCACCTAAAATTACATTACCCAACTCTTCTTCACTTTTTCCTGTTCCGCAACACTTTAGCAAACCTTCTGCCATCCAAAGCTTGATCAATTCACCTTTTTCAAACTGATAACCCTTAGGAAATATAGAACAATAAGCAAAACAACGCTTCTGATTTGAAGGGAGATTATGGTAACTCAATCTCAGCACTGGATTAATGTTGTTGTCCCCATCTGACAAACGCCACATATCAGTCTCCAACATCTTCATCCACTCATGTTGAGAGAATTTTTTTCGCAGGACTTGGCCCAATGTTTTTACCGCTAAAGGCAACCCTCCATAGTTGTCCACTATTTTCTTACCAATTAATTCAAAATTTGGATATTCACACACATTTTTGCCACGAAACGCATGTGTCACAAATAAACTCCAACAATCATTTTTCTCCAATTGTTGCAAATCAAATATCTTGGTGGAATTCAAAACATCTGCCACTTCGTTGTCACGTGTTGACACGATAATCTTACTTCCAGAAGATCCATGGTTAAAGGGAAGTAGTAACTGCTCCATACTTTCCTCATTTTTGTTCCAAATATCATCCAAAACAAGCAGATATTTTTTGCCAGATAGTATATTCTGCAGACACTGTTGGAGTAGATTGAAAACAGATTCATCATCTAATGAAGAATGAAATGACTTGAGAATTTCTTTGGTGAGTCCAACAACATCCAAAGGTTCTGGGACATAGACCCAAGCTTTAAGTTCAAAATGGTCCTCTATCGCGTGGTCATTGTACACAAGCTTAGCAAAAGTGGTCTTACCCATTCCACCTAGACCCACTATGCTAATTACAGGTACCTGGTTATCACTGCCATTCTCTGAAAGTAAAACTTTGATCATTTCATCTTTATCAGCATCTCTACCATATATGCGGGATGGATCCACCAAATATGTAGTGGGTAGTCTTTCTGAAAGTTCCAAATTGACTCCATCTTCATTATAAGCACACACTCGTTTTTTCAATTCCAGCTCATCCTTCTGCCCTACAAGAGAATCTAGGCTCTCTATCAATTCTTTGAGCCTGGATTTAAATGGATTAGTAAGAGTTGGAATGAAGTTGAAGATAGTGCTGGTAGATGGTTGAGATTCGACTCTCATCTTCTTCAATGGTGCATCAGTGGCAATCTCATCTAATAGTAGGTCAGCCTCATACATAGCATGTTTAACATCACCAAGCCACGTCTTCACGTCTGGATTCTCGTATTGCTTCTTCTCTGCATCATCCAACACTTGGTTGATAGAATTGAGTATAGACTCAAGTTCCTCTACCAGTGTGTCAAGTTTGACATTATGGAAATAGCCTACTAAATTACTTGAAGCCAACATCTCAAAAACCACACCAAAGAAAGACGAAAGAAATGCCTCAACAACCATCTCTGCCACTATTTTACTGTCATGCCAAAAAGGGCTAGAGATATAAGTGTGACATAATACAAGCTTGAAAGTCTATTAACAAGATAAATAGTTATGTTTCTTCTCTTAAAGATATGGTTCTCTTCGTTTTAAGAAACTAAACACAGAATAAAGAACCTAGGTTTATCTTAATAAAACAACCTGTAAATAAAAGAAGTTAAGAACTAAATTGTAATTTGAGAAATGAATTATCATGCATCACATCACACATTAAATAAGATTTACCACGGAATTAGAAAATAAGAAACATTAGAAAAGTATAGCGAAAATAGCTAGAAAATGATAATGATTACAATAAGAAATTAAGAGAATGAGAGAGTTACCTGAAGTTGTTTTCACTTAACTAAGACTGAGATCAATCACCAAACAGAGAGAATGTTGAATGAATGAAGGAAGAAGTGGTTGTAGAAGAGAAGCAGAATGTCAACAGAACAAAATCATCAAAAACCAGTCACAACCATGATGTTCATTTATTTATTATTCAATCTTCTACCACTTGCACTCTGTTCACAATATTCAACACTATGACATATAAGTTTGATAAAAAAAATTATATATGTATATTAAGTGTGGATTTGAATTCACAATTTTCTATTTATAAAATAAATAGTGAGGTATAGGTAGGCTACTCTTTTAAGAAAAGTGGGTATTTTATTTGAAAATTGATTCCATACAGTTTTTTTCCCCGCAATGACGCAGTTACACCATCAATCACCGTCTGATATTGATCCAACCTTCTAAAAAAATTTTAATTTATATTTAATATTGCTGAAAATATCAAACTTAAATCAAAGTTGTGTGAGTATGATGTAATGACCTCTAACACTTGAGTGCAAAATTGCGTGAATTTGATGACCACAACAACAAATCTGATCCATTTTATTTACTGTAAAATGAGTTCAGTCCGTTGGGCAGAGATTTTTTTTGCCCTCTACTATGTCTGCTCTCTGCCCTACCCTATTATGTGATAATAAAAAAAAACGACCATAGTTTTTTATTTATAAAAAAAAAAAAAGAACATAGTCTTTCAACAAAAATTAAAATAGTAAAGCAACAAAAACATGCAAACATAACCTACATAGTAAAATCCAGCGGCCAAAAAGAACAACTCCTCCAAAGATAGAAGCCTTTCATGCCAAACTTTTAAGGCATAAGGTGGTTTTACTAGAGAGAACTGGCTTTGCTTTTTATATTCTTAAATTTAAGGTGTAGCTCACTTAACTAAATATATTAAAACATAAGCTATAATTTTATGTTCAGTTTACTTTTAACAATTGAGTTAAGAAATCACTTTTAACAAAAAAATCAACAAAAATCAATTAATTTTAAATCAAATTTCATTGTAGATCCAAATAAAAGTTAAAAAAAAAAAATTATTCATTAACACAAAGATAAAAACATTTATAAAGAGATAAAGATGTTACCTATAAATATGTGAATAATCAAACTCAGAATATGATCTCCTGCAGAAAGAAAACTTGAAAATGAATATAAAAATTAGAGTAAGATTAAGAAAATTAGAGACAACAAAAATATTAAGTACAACATAGAAGAAAAAAAACCGATAAGATCTCCCAATGAAACAGAAAAATTACTTGATTGAAAGTGTATGGAAGCGAAGGAACTCAAAATAGGATCTAAACTTAGAGGGGAGGATAAAGAAACAGAAAAATGGATGAGACAGCTTTATAGTACATTTCACACACCAAGAAAAAGAATGTTATCTTCCCATCAATTGCAAGGAAATAGGAAGATAGTAAAATAAATTTGGTCAACACTAAATAAATTAGTTAAATATGTATTCCAATTTCAAAAATGAACATTCAAAGGAATCTCAAAGAAATGGACAACAGATAATTATTGGAGTATTTAATTATTAAAGTTTGTTATCAATTACGTATTCAATTGCGTATTCCATTACACCATTGACCAGGTATTCATTCGTATTTAGAAGTCTTTAATATGAATCCGGTTTAATAGTAAATTATCAAACTACACTAACCTTACTTAATTAGGAACTTAGGTAGCTAGTTTAGTAATACTCACAGCAACAATTAGAATAGTTTATTTAAACACAGAACAAGAAAAGAAACTATGTCAAACATGCGTAATTAGTGCTCGAGATAACCCACTGGCTTCAGCAGCATCAATAAGCTCCTGTTTATGCATAAATTCATTCCCATTTGAAGTTCCCCTATTAAAAATGTGCTAAATCAAGTATAATATAACTAGTTTTACCACAAGTCCACAACCGCTTCAAAAACCTATTTAACACGCACAAAAAAATGTATCAGTAGTGCATGTGAAGGGTTATCAATAGTGCATAGCGCTTGGTTCCTTTAGTTTTATTTGCTATAAGATTGGAGAAAAAAGGAACAATTCAACAGAAATATGGACAAAATACATGTAAAGCCAGTGGAAGATGGCATTAAAAAATAACTAAGCATGTCAAGGCATACCCTTTTTGGTCAAGTCAGCTGGTTCAGTGCCTCCAGAACTGGTCCCTGGTTCACTACCTCCAGACCCAGTCCCAAAAAAACCCTGCATCAGCCTCAATATCATTTTCCCCACACCACTTACACACAATTCCAAAAAAAAGACAGCATTATTAGATTGAAACAAAACCCAATTTTAAACCAATCACTAAGCATCCAACAACCCTTTTCACTCAAAAATTTTTATAATTCTCAATTTTTAAAATAAAAAATGTAGTTTTATTACTATAAGTTCAAGTCAAAACAAATCCAATCTATACGACAACAACAAAGCTTTATCCCACTAAAAAGGTCGGTTACATGGATCAAATTGTGTCATAATATTCTATCCAAGACCATATTTCTATCCAAATCATTAATCTCGAGATCCTACTTAATAGTTTCTCTTATAATTTTTTCAGGTTTTCTTCTACCTCTAGTTGTTTGCCTCCTCTCCATTTGATCTACTCTCCGTACTACAAAATCTACAGGACTTCTCTCTACATATCCAAACCATCTAATCGTATTCTCAACCATCTTTTCTACTATAGATGCTACCTCAACACTCTCTAATATTATCATTTCTAATTTTATCCCATCTATTCTTCCCATACATCTAACACAACATCCCCATCTCTGATACTCCACAAAACCCAATTTAAACAACCTTATACCCTCCTTAGTCCTTACCCTCACCCCTTCAAAAACACATAAATAACACACACACAAAACCAAACACTAAGCACCTAAACAACCCCCTTTCACACAAGACATGGACAATTCTACAATTCAAAGAAAATGGAGTTTTTTTTACTAAAAATTCAAGTCAAACAAACTCAATACATCACATCATAATCAAACACATATTCATATTCATATATTACAATTTACAATTTATAGAGACAAAAAGTAGAAGAAATTGAAATTATACTTAATAAGCGAGAAATCTTTAACTGTTCGAATTGGGATTTTAGAGTTACGGACATTGAAATGAGCTTTGGAAAGACCTTTCGGTTGCGAAGCCATGACTATCCACTTGTTCCACGTGAACGACGCCAGTTCTTCATTCTCCGGACACCGAACCCGAGTCCGGTTCTCCATTCCGGGTCGGGTTTGTTAGGGTTTCGGTGAAGAGATATCAATTACAGTGAGTGGTTGCATTTGGGGGAAATGACCATGCCGCGCTGGGTTTCAGATTTTCAAATTCCAGAAATACCCCAACCCCAACAAATCACACACATAAATACTTCATATATTATTTAAATTTCAATTAAGTTTTAGTGGTAGCAGATGAATGTTAAGAAAACATAACCATGGTTTCTGCATACTATCTTTAAAACCTACCTTGTAAAATATTTTTACATTATTAATTAAGGAGGGATGTGTATCCCTCTTAAATCACACTTTTATTTTTAAAATACTTTGATAAATTTAAATATTTTAATTAGATGTTTGTGTAATATTATATTACACTAATAGTTTATTATCTTTAATTTTTTTCTCAAATGAAGAAACATTTAAATATTTTCCGAAGATATTTTAATAATGATTTTTGATGTGTTTTAGAATGAACGGAATGATTTTCTTATATAATGAAATAAAGTAGTTAAGTTTTCTAATCTAAACATTGTGATACTAATGAATGTTCTCAACTAATACACAAACATATTTTTTTAAAATAATGAAGGACTCGTGAAACTTTTTCAAACTCATCTCCCTATTAGAATATTGATATATTGACATGTTCCAATAATACCTTTTATTCGTTGAGTCTCTTCACCATCTTTCAAAGCTCTTCGTTGTCACCTCTCGGATAAGGTCTTCAAGTCTGTGAAACTCTGTAGAGAGAGGAATACCTGAAGAAGTGTTTGGTGTTGGAAATCCACCAAAACCTATGATGAATTTCTATCAATATTGATGAACAAAATTGTTATCACCACACAATGACAATGAAAAGAAAAGAAGATTAAAGAAGAAAAGAGATTTAGGATTTCTGCAGAGTTTCTCTCTGCCCATAAATTATGGAAAACTTTCTTATTCACTTGCATTTGCAAATATTGTGAATGAATGAATTGATTACAAAATAGGGGTTACTTCCTTTATTTATAGTTTTAGGTTAGCTTGCTCCCTAAGCCAAAGCCCAAAGCCCAAAAGTCCAAAATACCTAGTTTAGATCTAAATCAAATCTAAATCAAATCTGTGTGTAGCAACTGCTTCGACACACCTAACAACTCGACAAATTAAGCTAATTCGACACAACCTTATGTCGAGCAACATATTGCTTTCAACACAAGGAATTACACTTTCAACACGCCATATAATTTATTGTGTCTAAACTATCTATATTCATCATAGCTCTTAGTCTTCTGAATACTTCGACATGTACACCCTTCGTGATGTCTGCAATCTGATTCTCAGTTCTACAGTGTTCCAAGTTCATCTTCACATCTTCTACCTACTCTCGAAGATAGTGAAACCTCATTTCGATGTGCTTGCTTCGACCATGTGCTATCGGATTCTTCTCCAGGTTGATAGTTGACATGTTGTCGATCTTCATGGTAATTGCTCCATGATCTTTTCCTGTAATCTCTTCGACCAAGTTCATCATCCATGTTGTTTGACATGCACAAAGAGAAACAACTATATACTTTGCTTCGTAAGACCCAATAAGTCTTCTATATTGGATTGGGTCGACATAACCTTCTTTTGAATCTTTCGACAGTTGCAACCTCGATTCAGCAGGTGTTAATGTCGAGTTGCATTCTTTCATATCAAATCTCTTGAGAATTTCTCCTGCATATCTTCTTTGATGCATCATCAGACATCTACTATCCTTGCAAAATTCAATGCCAAGGAAATATGAAATGTCATCCCGTTATAGTGTTAGAACCCAATGAATAGAAAAATACACAATCATTATTGAAATTCTGGCAGCAGATACTCAATGTCACAGTGAATGTTATGACACCGTATCTGACACACTTCAAGACAGTAATTTTAAAAGCAGTAAAGAACACAATCAATTGTTTACCCAGTTCAGTGTGTAACAACACCTACTCTGGGGGCTACCAAGCCAGGGAGGAAATGCATTATAAGAGATATTAATTTAGGAATAAACCAACCAGTTTATCTCCTTCACTTAAGACCTACCCAATGCAACTTCAATTTAAGATCAACTTAAACCTGAGTTCCTGCTCACTCCCCCTCAATCACAGCAGTGATACTAAACTATTGATAAATGAAATTATGAAGATACTCTTCAGTACACACACTTGATTTTGCTTCACAACTTTAATCAAGTGACAAACACTCTTGCTTCAAAGCTTTGAGTGATACACAACCCTAACTTGACTTTGCTTCAAAGCTGTAATCAAGTGACACAAACACTCGTGCTTCAAAGCTTTGAGTGATACACAACCCTAACTTGACTTTGCTTCAAAGCTTTAATCAAGTGACACAAACACTCGTGCTTCAAAGCTTTGAGTGATACACAACCCTTACAATCAAATCCTACTCCAAGTCACTTATCACAATGATAATTGCTTGGATCACAGTAGTTACAACTATACAATCCCTTATTGATCTTCTGTCAAAAAGTGTTCTTCACCAACAGTCTTCATGAGGAATATATAGGCAGCTATTCTTCAGTTAGGGCTTCCACGGAAATAGTTAGGGTTAATTAGGGTTAACCTTAAGACTTGGTCATAGGTCTTTAACAACCAGATTAGGGTTAAGCAGAGTTAACCTAATGTCCACGTGAGAGTCTGATCTGGACTGTATAAACCAGATTCCTGAAAATACTCAGGAATAACAAATCTTCACAAATGTTAGATCAGTACAGGATGTCTTAACATTGGTTATGACAACAAGAATCTTGTTTACTGATTTTGGTAGAATGCAATAAATATGATCATTGCTTAATGATCAGCTAAACACTCATATTGAGTAGCTCCTGTATGACATTCTTTTTCTGCAGAATGTACCTTGTATCCCAGAATGTTATGACATCAGTCATGACATTCACGCAACTGGTTTTACCCAAAAAAATTCCAACAACCAAACACTTACAAACTCCCCCTTTGGCAAATTTTTGGCTAAAACCCCTAAACAATCAGAGATTAGAAAGCATCAGAATTTTTAATAACATCTACCAAGTCTAATTCTACCAAAATTATCACAAAATATTCTCCCCCTCTTTAGCCATAAATAGGCCAAAGATACTTGTACTTTTAAGTTATACAGTCATCCAAAAAGAATAATAAAAACACAGAGAGAAAAAAATCAAAAGTCATTTGCAGCAACAGGAACCAACAACAAACTTGTCAACTACACTGATCTTCAAGCACTGTCATCTTCAGAGGAGGCACTATCTTCAGCATTATGCTGGTCTTCATCAGCATCCTCTTCCCTTCTTTGTCCTTCATTTTCCTCCTGTTCTAGTCTAGCAATCAGGTCCTCAAGAGTCATTTTCCTTGTATCAAGCTCTTTGCAGGTTTCCTTCAGCACAGCTATAACATCAGTTTTCTTGGAATGAGATTTGACAGTTGATGTCTCAGCAGATGCCATGACAATGTCAGGAACATGTGTTCCCTGAAATAGCTTATAGTGCAAACCAAGAGCAGGGGCTCTTTTGCATACAGTATATTTTTCAACTAGAATGTCAGGATACTGAGCAATGACTATACCACACAGGAGAGAGGGAAAGGCAATATGGCCTTTAATAGCACAACTTCCAGCATGTTTCAATGTTTGATCAAAGATATACTTGCCATAGTCAAAGTTTGTCCTGGTTCCAACAGCATAAATAAATCTTCCCAAGCCTGTGGAGATGGTTGATTTATGGTTGGTGGGAACTCAGTTAGTTGCACCAATTTTGTGCAGAATGGAAAATTTCATGCTCAGCTTGCTTGCATTCAGCTTCCCTTTTAAGGTCCAGCTCTTGACTTGATTTGCAGTGATGGTTTGACACACTTGATTGTCAGTAACCTCAAGCTCAGGGCAAGCATCATCAGGTCTTCCTAGGAATTTGCAGGCAGCTATTCTTCAGTTAGGGCTTCCACGAAAATAGCTAGGGTTAATTAGGGTTAACCTCAAGACTTGGTCATAGGTCTTTAACAACCAGATTAGGGTTAAGCAGAGTTAACCTAATGTCCACGTGAGAGTCTGATCTGGACTGTATAAACCAGATTCCTGAAAATTCTCAGGAATAACAAATCTGCACAAATGTTAGATCAGTACAGGATGTCTTAACATTGGTTATGACAACAAGAATCATGTTTACTAATTTTGGTAGAATGCAATAAATATGATCATTGCTTAATGATCAGCTAAACACTCATATTGAGTAGCTCCTGTATGACATTCTTTTTCTGCAGAATGTACCTTGTATCCCAGAATGTTATGACATCAGTCATGACATTCACGCAACTGGTTTTACCAAAAAAAATGCCAACAACCAAACACTTACAATTATGCAACCCGTTATAGTGTTAGAACCCGATGAACCAAGTGTTAATGAAGATCATAATGGTTTTAGTGATGAAAATGATAATATGATGTTAGAGTAATTTAATTATGAATATTGTGTGCTTTTGTTAAGCTATTAGTCATAGTTCTTTTTGTAATTTTCTGTTGGAACAAAGGGTTTTTTCAAGAAAGATGATTTATGGAAGAGAATAAGAAGAATAAGAGAGAAGAGAGAGAATTGAGAGTTTTATTTTGATTGCTTTCTCACTTATTAATTACAAACTCAGAAGCCCTTTATATAGGAAAACAATGCCCAGACCCAATTAGACAAAAATGTTAAAGCCCAAAATATGATTTCGATAGACTGCAATATCTGATGTATTCGACTTTGTCGAATACAGCTTATAACCTATACAAAAGCTATTTGACATACACTACACAAGCATTTCGACAGAACAAGAATTATACATCTAACACGACCCCTAATTCATGTTCTCGAGACTTCTCATCCCGGTACTTTTCTTTAACTCGTCAAATCTGACTTTCTTCAGAGGTTTGGTAAATATGTCGGCCAGTTGCACTTCTATCTTGTAATACTTTATCTCAAGCTTCCCTTTGTTGACTTGATCCCTCAG